TTATTATTTCGTTTACCACAATGAACATTTTTTATTATTATGTTGTAAACAAAAATACAAACAAACAGAAGAAAAGGGAAGAATATTGATGTCAAACGAATATGCATCCTCATTCATTCTGATTATCTTTTGTGAAATCTACGTCTTTTAGTCTCAACACTATGTGTTGTGGTATTTCTTTTATGTATTGCTTTATGACGTTTTATGAAAAATCTGTACGTGATGGAGAAAAATGTATATCGTTTTCGGATTCAGCGTGCAGGAATTACTGTAGAAAATGTAAAGATATCAAGACAATAAAACCATCGCACAAGCCTGTGTAATTGGTGTTGCATAATATTGACTAGCTGCCTTCCATCTAGTCTTTTACTTTAAAATTATGGATGGCTAGCACAGCTAGCCCTCCAGCAGCTTTGTGTGAAATTTAACAAATCAACAATCATTTAAATATTTGTAGTTCATGACGTTTCACTTCGATAGCAAGAATGGTTACTATGAAGAGCAAGGATAGTCTGACACTGATGTTGAATATCGAAAATAAAGAGTGTTAATAGGATTCTGAAATATTCTCAACCGCTTCTCCGAAAAAGTTGTTTTTAGGGCATCTTTTATGTCTGGAATCGCTTGGCGAAATGTGAGTACATCCCAAGAGCACCTCATGTAAGCGCACTATATCTATTGACCATACATTTTATCAGTTCCCTCTTCTTCAAGTAATGTGTTGACCAGTTTAGCTGTATGGGAATTAGCGTTATCACATATTTAACTGAAATCATATGAAAGCACAAAGTATTATAGAATGTAATTCCTATAACGAATGGCATTGATGGTATCATTCTGCAGGATGTCGAGGTTGATACGTTCAAAAATGCTTATTTTTGCCCACAACATACTGCCAACACCATCACGTGCGTCAAATGCTCGTGTGAAAATATGGTTGAATCTGCTTCTAGATTCTCTCTCTCTCTCTCCAGAGGTTTACGTCTTTTATCTGGTTGCAAGGTGAAGGGCGACTATTCCATAATAATAATATTATTTATATTATTCAGCATATTATTGGCCAGTTGGACATGTTTTTGGTATACCACAGTTGTTTTATGCCTTGCTGTAAGCAGAAAAAGCATTTCATTCGGCGTCTGATATGCTTGACTTGCATATTATTGTATTGAGGGAATTATTAACTTTATTTTATAATTGTTAGTTTACCTTGTCAAAGCCATAATATAACAAATTACCTTTTAACTGCTTTGTGCAAGCTGTATCATTAACATGTTAGTTTATCATTCAAAGAGTCTGGTTATAAATGGACTTTAAGGAAGTAAGCTCTTTAAGTCAACCTCACTTATATATGTATAACACAAAAGCTTGTTTGTGCGTTAGTTAATACTGTGTTTGAAGGAGAACCTCTCTTTCATGATCGATTATTTCCTGCCCACAGTGTTTGTCTTTGACTCTGGATTTATTTACAGACATCTTCTGTTAGACAGCACGAGGACCGAGAAGTGGTTTTGAAAGTTGCTTGGTTCTTAATGTATAAATACTATTTCTTTCTTTAAAGTTGCTTTTACAAAATATCGGTAAAAAAGTTCAATTAACTTGACACAAGCCATGTCTCCAGGTAACAAAACCATTAACATTATATTTCTATTAATAATGTTTCGTTTTCATGCTTTTGTAAAAAGATCCCCCCCCCCAGTAGCTCGAGGTATGTCTGCGTGTTTACAACGCTAGAAATGAGGTTTCAATACCGGTGTGAGGCAAAGCACGGATAGCCCATTGAGTAGTTTTGTGCTTAACAAACAAACAACCAACCAAATCAACAGATTTTTTGTTGCTTGACGATAACCTATCACTAACACAAGTAAATCAATTCTACTTTCTTTTTTGCAGTTGTAGAAATGCTAAGTCTTTTCTTCTATCATTTCTTTTTATTAAAACAAGTTTTCAATCTTTGCATTTCTTTATTTTTATATGGCTATTTTAATGTAACAGATTTAATTTCAAAGAAAAGGTTAGTTTTGGGCTATATCCTGAAGTTACTGATCTAACCAAACACTCGATTCTACTTTAGCTTTAATGAAGCTCTTGATGGATTTTTAATCAACTCTTCTTTGTAGACGTAACAGCTTTTATTAACGTTCTTCACGCAACTCTTAGATTCTGCAGTTATTATTTATATAGTGAGGTTTTATACTTGATTCTCTAAAAACGTTACTTTCGTTTAAAGAAAGTTTTTGAGTTGGGACTCCTCAAGTACCATTTTACTTTTCAATTTTTTATCTGGGTTAGTGTCAATAGTTTTTGTAAAGAGTCGAAACTATGTCCATTCTTGCTGTGTGTGTTTTCTTACAGCAAAGCCACATCACGCTATCTGCTGTGTTCACCGAGGGGAAGCGAACCCCTGATTTTAGCGTTGTAAATTCGTAGACTAACCTCTGTCCCAGCGGGAAACATTAATGGTTAGTGAAAAACACTTTTAAGTAGGTATTACATGCAAATAATAAAAAAAAAACGAGAAAGAGATACCAATATGTCTAAATATAGAATAGTGGCATTTACATTTCAAATCGGGAACTTTTGTTCCACCAGTTTAAAACACACAATAGCCCTTAATAATTATAATTTGGCTGCTGAAACAGCTTTATTTGCCTTTCAGCTTCACGAGTTTGAATAAGTTAATCCAGAAATGAGGATGTCATGATTGTCAATGTAAGACAAATTCGTCGAACCTATTTGTTTTAACTCTCATTTTACAGATTCACCTACTCATCTTCCCCCTTCCTTCGTAGGTTTTGAGTAACGATGGATATGATCAATATTGGAACACCCATAGTTATAGTTTCAATCTCTCTGAAAGGGACAGGCACAAAGCTAAGAATTGTTGTTTATTTGAGACAATTTATAAAAATATAATGAGATGCTCCCTTGCAGTGTAATGTGTTCTTTTATGAGCACCGACTGTTATCTAAGTAAGCACCAAGTGCTCTTGAAAGGGGACATTCTCAATTGTTCAATCACTTCAGTAGATGTGTTTCTGAGGCTTTAATGAGTTATACCTTACAATTATAAATACAATTGAATAGGAAGCAAGAAATATGTGTTAGAGTTAATTAAAGAAGATTTTCTTTGGGTACACAAATAAGTAACATAAGTTGTTTATAACTTGATACGTTTAAGAAATAACGAAAAACACATTAAAACGAATTATATATTAGAAGTCAAATAGGGATGTGTTTTTATCAAGTACACTATTTTGATTCATATGTTTAAGTCTTACAGAAAGAGTTTGCCTGACCTATAAGACCTTAACAAGCGATCTGTGTGTCTTTTTTAATATTATCAGAGAATTACTGATCTCATGTTGAAAGTTTTTAGTCTATTCATACCGATAATCAAAGAAATAGTCTTATCTTGTAAACTCAAGTGATATTGCAATAAAAATATGTAAATCTGTTCTTATGACTGTTTGAAAAGTTCTTTTAATAGAGGGTTTGTCTGTGCATTCGCCATATGGATTGGATTTTATGAATCTATGCTAAACGTTATCTCATCTTGACTAAATGATGACGAGAAAAGGTTAAAAAAAACACAGCGAGCCCATATATTGAGATTCATCGTAGGACTTTTAAAACTGAAATACTTGTGAGACAATATTTGTATTTTTCATTTATGGCAAAGCTGTTAAGCCTACCTGCTGCCGTCCCTGATATTGATCTACCGACTGTAAGAAAAGCAGCCAATCAGTAGCTCCTTACCACCTACTTTCCACACTAAAGGAGTGATTGTTACTCTTATGACCCACCCACAGCTAAAAATGCGAGGAACATCTTGTGGCATCGAACATTTGAATCCGGCTAGACAGCTCCAACATTCAAAGCTCTACCGAAGGGTCAACCCGAACCCCAACACATCATTACTAATGAAGGAAACTGTCGATGAATAAATTTGCTATGATCACTTGGTTATAACTAGTTGAAAATCCAAAAAAACTCTAAAATAGATGGATACCTTTTGAAGAAATTTAGAAGCGTTAACAACTTTTGACTACAAAGAAGTTCAACTATATAATTCAAAGTAAAATATAGCAAATTAGGCATATGCCTAGGCGTATTTGTCATTGGGGGTCACAAGAGGGAGAGGTTCCTGGAGAGGTAGGCCTCTTACCGATCTCTGAACGCGAGATGTCTTTCGGGGAAACGTTTTTCAACACTGCTGTAGAGCAATTTCTTTGCTGTAGCAATGATTGAAGTACATATAATGAAGCCGTACAAGTACACTTATTTATCCCAGTGGTGTGTTGTAAGTAGGCCTAATGCATGTACAGCCATGGGTATTTCCTTCCGTCATTGTGCGCTACTGTTTCCATTCATTTGTTTGTATATTTGTTTCTGTTATGGCAAAGCCACATTGGGCTGTCTGCTGTATTGTGTCCATCGAGGGGAATCGAACCCCTAATTTTAGAGTTATAAGACCCACCGGAGGACTTCCATTCAGTACTTATTTTGTTGTTCAAATTAAATGTGGAAACTTCTAGCTCTGTTTATTAAGTTGATCATTATTTAGAAGTTTCTAGTTGTTCGATAGAAAATTGAATGCATTAATATAAATAATTCTCAACTTTTTTTTATGTAATCTGAATGGACCAAATACAACTGTCGATTAAATAATAATCTATGTATAATTACTTAAAAGCTATAATAGCTTAGTTGGTTGTTTTAAACATATTAGCTTCTTATATCCTTCTTACTCCATTGTTCTTCACATCTTCTTGAAAGTTTTCAGGGGGGGTAGGAGAGGAATGTTCTGTCTTTCCAGTTCCATATTTCTTCCAAAGACTACAAAAGATGATTAATATTAAGTTAATATATTATTCTAATACGCATAAAATGCACATCTTTCAGAAAATATCAAGCAAATTTTATTATTTAATCATTTGGACTTGTCTAAATATGTTTCGAGTGTGTTGTTTTAATATGTAAGTTTCGTTATTTAGTTGTGATACTGGTGTGAGTCTTCACTTTACTGTATTTCTAATAATTTTAACTGGATGAGTATTGTAAAAGTTTGGTTAACTATCAAATAACCTTCCATACATCCTTTCTAATAATTTTAACTGGATGAGTATTGTGAAAGTTTGGTTAACTAACAAATAACCTTCCATAAATTCATCTGTTCGTCCATCTATCTATTTCAAGTATTTTTCTAACTATCACTCTATTAATTAATTTACTTGTATTTCACTACGTCATGCGTGGCTTAGTATTTAGTATGCTCGGATTCTGAATCCAGGGATTCATGGTTCGAGTTGCTATTGTCAGAAAAACGAGTTCTACACTTAGGGTCCATGGATTATAAGGTCGATGGTCAAATTTCGCTATTCAATCAGACAAGCGTAGCCTAAGAGTTGGCGGTGGGTGTTGTTGACTAACTGCCTTCCCTCTCATCTATCAGTTCAAGCTTATGGACAGCTATGAGCAGATAACGTTTGTGCATCTATGCGCGAAATTCTAAAACCAAGACAACAAACTATTTCTCTGTCTATTTGTAAGTAGATGTATCTTTCTACGTCTTATTCTCTTTCTATGTAGGCTATTATTATTTTTCCATTTAGTTGTCAGTCTCTCTTTCTATTTAACTGGTTACTCTTCTGTCTCCTGATGTCTAGTTAGTTATCTAAGTTATATAAGATTTTATTTACAATAGTGAAATAGCACATACGTAAATGTCTTGTTGTAATCACTAACTATAAAAGACTTATTCTCTTTGTCACTCTGTTGAGAACGCTTTCACCCTCCTTCTTTGCTAATGCTCAACAATATAGATTGTCGCATTGCAAAATAAACTATCACCTGATTGTTCTTAAGCCAACTATGGTGTTTATGTTGAATCTATATAAATAAAATAGTATTGCCTGTTGTATGTCCATGTCGCAGGGAGTGAATGGATCTTCCCAAAAATTGATATTGAGGCTCATTAGGTCCATGTGGGGGTACATACAAATTTTCAGTTTTGCATTTTGCAGTTTTTGTGGACGTTTTTTGCTTCTACTTCGCCCCATGTAGATGGATCTTCACCAAATTTTGTATGAATGTTCACTGGGTTCATAGGGAGAAACATACAAATTTTCAACTTTGCATATTGCTTTTTTGCTGTCTTTATGGGCGTTTTCGCGCTTTTTACCACTACTTTACTTTACTTTACTTTACAACCACTCCCTGTAGATGAATGTTCACCAAATTTGTAAGGAGGTTCATTGGGTCAATAGGGAGATACACACAAATTTTTAATTTTGCGTTTTGTGGTTTTTATGGGTGTTTTTGCGTTTTTTACCACTACCTCATCTCCTGTTGATGAATCTTCACCAAATTAATCATGCATCTACATAACTTCCGTCCAGGGGACGGGTACTCCAACTAGTTATTCAATATTAATGTTGATTTCTTATAAAGGTTTGTTTTTTATTCTTTATTTTTTGATAACTTCGGTAATATAACAACAAAACAGTTTAATTCAGAAGTTTTATGACATTGAGTTGTAGCCAAAAGCAAAATAAAATTTACCAAGTAGTGTTTCAGCTAAGTCTTACGTTACGCTTAAGTATTAGGCCTAATGCTTAAATTAGACTACAAATAGGCCTGCTATTACTAACGTTACAGAGTCAGTGTTTAAAAAGTTTCTGGAAGTGAATAAATGTTAATTAATAAATATTCGTTTGGTATTTTAACATATATATATTATAAATTTGTGTCGGATTGTCCGCACAATGTTTTCTACTTCCTAACCTAGAATACAGTGAAAAGGTTCACGAGTGCTATTTGAGTCTCTTTCAAAGTACACACGCACTTTTGTTCATGATAACGTTTCATTTTTCTGCGTAGTTTTTGCTAAAAATGTGGTGATTAAAGAATTACTTCGAGACTGATGAAATAAGTGAAAAGTAGATGCATTTCAGAGGTACAATGGTTTCCTGTCATTTTTGACGGGTTTTTATACTAGTAGAATATATTACACTTGAAGTAATGGGGTACTTGTACGTTACACGATTGATGTAGGCTCATTTCCAGCATTGTCGAGTCTACTATTTTCTCTATTTCTGTAACAGTTTATAGGTAACAGACAGAAAACACGATTTGTAAATATATATCTGTCAAACTAAAGACAGGAAAAAAGTAGAGTTTTTCAGCTTCCTCTGATGCACTGAGCCAAGTGTATCTTTGTTATTGATAGTTTATATACGTAGACATAAAAATAACAAAGTTAGTAGAACTGACTATTCTTTGCTATCACTCGAAGTGTTTTTTTAGGCTGCCAAGATGACCTTTTTCTTAAAACAACATGTGCAAGACACGTGCGTATCTTGTCCTACTGCATTATATCCTTATACACAATTGTGTATCTGAAAAAAATGTGTTTATAAAAGCACTGAAAGTAAATACACTTAAGAAATACTCACGAATTTCTGTTTTATCGTTCTTAAAGTATATAAAAAGATGAGAACGTGGGAGTTTATCAGTTAACAGAAAGCTGATTTTTTTACGATTTTGTTACATATCGTGTAAGATCATATGTGCTGTGAATGTAACATGCACAAACCAGTGATGTTAACTCAATTAGAGCTCAGGATCAATTACTCGTCTTATGTTGAATACATAGTATATCCCCTCAGCTATACATAATTTCGTGGTTTATTTTCATCAACATCACATATTTTCGTGGAAACGTTTTTCCCTGTCACGTTTTTGGCTCAAAGGCATTTTTGAAATGCGAAAAAAAAAACGTAAAGAGGTAATAATTTTGGCTCCCTAATATTTTATAATCTCAAAGATATTGAAATGAAAATGTGAATATATGATAATAGCTAGACAAAACTGACAAAAATACGGTTTATGTGACACGTAGTAGCTAACATAAATGTTATTGTACGGCGTTAAGCTCTCACAAACGTTGTCTGAAACTGTACGTTTTTGCTCGAGCTAAGAACGGGCGCGGTTAGTGGTTAGTGTGAACACGAGAATTCGTGGCTTGCGTCCCGTTGCCGCAAGAGCGCGCTCTACGGTTTTGGATCGTTGATGCGCTCTAAGAATGACGTTCAAATGTAGAAGCTCAAAATTAGAAACGGCTATGCATAGCTAGCTCTTGTGTAATTTTTCGCGAAAATAATAATAAACAAAACAATACTTCATAGCGACTGTGAATAATATTTACTATATATACATATAAATATATATATATACAAACACAGAATAAGCAGATTAAAAAAAAAATAGAAACTCAAATGATTTCGAATAGCTGACTACTCTTTTTCAGGAGTAGAAAAAGTAAGCATATTTCATAGTCGCTATCAGTTGAGTACTTCAACATATATAATTTCAGATAAACTTTTAAATAATATAATGAAAACCTAAAGAAACCGTATGATCTCATTGCAAAGACACGGATATGTAAAAGATTTAATTTTGGAAAGCGATGACAAAGTCAAATAGTCTGATCAGTTTTGTTACCTGGAATAACAGTCACGGTTCCGCAGCTTTCAAGTTTCTCATGCATCTAAAAAAAAGCTAGGTAAATCAGACGTAGTTTGAAATTCTGGATTCAATATATATTAGTTAGTTGATTGCAGGGAAACGTTTGAGCAAATAATTTACCTGCTGTGATTTTAAAACGTTCCGGAATGCCAAGGAATATCTTTATCGGGTCTCGAAGATTTATACAAAACCTTTAGGAAGACTATATCATCAACGTACTGTGATTCATAGGCCGAAAGCTTCCCGAAGAACGATCTCATCTTTGGTTACAGTTCTTGTTCCAGAAAGAACTATAGGCATACACCATATCACTGCAACTGCACTTTCAAGATGAGCTATGAGACCATAGTTCTAGACTTACCAATTATTTTTCCTACACTGAAAGAAGCCTGCACACCGTAAGTTTGCCACTAATGCTCAACCGTAACCAGTGTCTAGACGCCTAACGCATCTGGAACTCGTAACTCGTCCAATTTATCGTTTCCCATGGCAGTTGAACTTAAGTTCTCTGTCACGGCCGCGCCTTATTGTTATAGTCCTGACTAATATGTTTTAAAAATATGAGGCTTCCGTTCTGAATTTTTTTCCGGAATAGAAGTGTTTGCTGATCTTCCTTCTTTTATTTTTCGTGCTTTTTTCTAACCGTTTCCAACTAACTCCTCATTTAGCTGACTTATTTCCTGATATAAATACTTTCTTCGTTTATTCATTAATTTCAGTTCCATTTCCATGTTATTGTTGTTTATTTTAATTTTAATTACTAAATTATTTTCATGATCTTTTTTTTGCCCCCTAGTGGCACAGCGGTAAAATACTTTCTTCGTTTATTCATTAATTTCAGTTCCATTTCCATGTTATTGTTGTTTATTTTAATTTTAATTACTTAAATTATTTTCATGATCTTTTTTTTTTGCCCCTAGTGGCACAGCGGCATGTCTACGGACTTACAACGCTAGAATACGTGTTTCGATACCCGTGGTGGGCAGAGCACAGATAGCCCATTGTGTAACTTTATGCTTAATTACAAACAAACAAACAAAATCCTTTTTTTTCCCCCGAATTTTAAAACTGCGACTTATTAACGTTGTCATACTTTCAACAACTCTTTTCTGGACTCTAATATCTTTCGTACTAAATTATCCTGCTTCTAAGTACTTACTGTAAGGTTGTGGCGATCCAATAGTATTAATTAATCAATTACTAATTTTTACCACATAATAATTACTAATTCGTTTGTATCCTAAGTTTCTACTACTGTGTTCCGGAAAGTCTTTAGAATGGCTGTTTGTTACAGTATGTGCCAGGATACACTTATGTACTATTCAGTCGTCCAGAATCTTTGTTATTCTAGTTACTTAGTTTTTCCACTTCGTTGCCATGCAAAGTTCAACATTATTCCACCATTTGTTACCGACAAGCCCCACCCCCAGCGCCACAGCGGTAAGTCTAAAGGTTTGTTGTTAAGCACAAAGCTACACAAGGAGCTATCTGTTCTGTGCCCACCACGGGTTTCAAAACCCGGGTTTTAGTGTTATAAGCCTTTAGACTTACCACCCCCAGTGGCTCAGCGGTAAATCTGAAGACTTGTAATGCTAAAAACCGGGCTTCGATATCCGTGGTTGGCACAACACAGATAGCTTCTCGTGTAGCTTCGTGCTTAGCTATAAAGGAAAACAAACGAAAATATTACTAACAAAATATCGTTTTTCATATCAACCCTAGCGGTTTATACTTTAATCAAAAAACTAGGCATCAAGATTGATCCTTTTAAAACCTACAGGTGGAATAAATATGGTCTTCTTGTTCACTATTACCCTTGTTAAATGTAACATTCGCAAATAAATGGTCTTAATATCCCCTCCTATTCACCTTCGTGTCTCAAGAGTGTATCTCTCTATAACGTAGATCCTTTTACCTCTTCTGAGTATATATATTCTATTTCCATTAAAAGAACGCAATTTTTCACCGCATGGAGTAGGGTACTGAATCCTGTCTAAAGATACCTGTAGAAGTGTCTTTTTCACCAAAGTTGCTTTTAATCTTCTCACACAGATACTCTTGCCAACGCTGAATTGTTTTTTTTTCTTTCATTTTCTGTATTCTAAGCTCCCGTTTGACACGTCACCGCAATCCTATTTTACATCGAACAATCCAGATTTCTCTTTGGTACATTAAACATAAAATGAACATTCATATTTCTGTCTAAATTTCTTGTCTGGCCGACGCCTGGTGGTTAACATGCCAAATTGTGTACCAAAAATTTAAAACTGAATAATTTCCACACTTTCAGTTATAGGGTGTTATAACAGCGAAGCTATTCATTAACCCATATACGATGCATGCTGACTGACTGCTCTCTCACTCTTGTCATCAGTTTTAAATTAAGGATGACTGTGACTGAACCGAGAGATCTCCGACTGACCTGGTCGCTTAGCACATGTGTTGCATAAAGTGCGATATAAGTTGAAAATACGAACTACTTTCAACATTTCCAATTCCATTTTCGCTGATTTGGCTACCTCACTCCAAATCTAGTTATCTACTGTTTTACATGTTGCAAGAATGATTTTGTATTTTCAGTTGAATTGTCTCTCTCCATTCTGATAATCCTTCTCTCGACTGCTTCTTCTGCTCCAGACAAAACATTGTGTCATTTAGTCTAACTCTTTAAAAATCTCATCAGTCAGTAGAAGCCAGAAATTATCTAATCAGCACTGTCGTTCATAGGTCTATGGACTCGATTTTGACACAAACCTCTCTAAACAAGAAGAAAATATAATCGGTTTTTGTAAATAATCCAGGAGATTTTTACTCCGGTTCCTACTCTGGTACATTAGGAGTGAATATCATTTTCTCCTGGAAGCAGATCATCCAATTGGCATTGTTTTATATTTT